TGTTCCACGCTCCCTCAATCACTGGTTTCAATCTCGATCTCACTAGCATGCCATCACCACACCTGTCCAAAGCTAGCGATGGCATACTTGTGAGGTCGGTATCGACGCCAGTGGCCAAGGCAATGTGGAACAACATCGGTGTCCTCCACCAACACCAACCCAGCATCATTGGAACAAACACACCCCAGGTATCCTTGTGCAGTCTCCACATGCTCCATAATGATACACACCAGTCAGTATCACCAAGCTGCAGTGACCACCAACGACGACAACAGTGATCCGCGGAAAGGCCCCAATAGTCTCTGTCCAAACTAATGAGGACCAGCCCAAGAGATACCTGTGTGGCGTCATGAGCAGACACAGCTTGGTATGGAGCATTGCCAGGACTCATCAGGACATCCGTACCAGTGCTCATCATCCATCTTGAGAGGATCCATGAAGCGGGAGAGAAGAAAAGAGGATGCACAAGTGGGAGGTAGAAGAAGAAGAGAATCTTTCCTCCTGGTGTTTTTTTATATTTTTCTTCAACAAATATGACACAAAACACAAACATCACCAGTTTAGCCTCGTTGTTTATGGCGATGCTGAGCTATGGAGGTAACACAAAGGTGCTTAGTTTGTATGGAGATTCCATAGCAACGCACAAGGTCAAGTGATATGGCACAAAGGTGCTCTGTATACGCCTGGTGGGAGAGTAGCTACGGTTACTCTGGGCGGCTGGCCTCTGGGCGGCTGGCCTCTGGGCGGCTGGCCTCTGAGCTTAGATATACAATCTACTACCTCAGCTTCTCAACATTGTTCAATTGGAAATGCGATTATATATGGTGCAGCAACAGGAGCCACACATATAAATGCTAGTTATGTAGTGCTTCAAACATCCAAAGGCTTGTGCTCCTTATCATCGTAGTTGTAAATCATATACCACAATGTCAAGCCCTCGCCACCCTCCTGCTCCTCGCCTAGTGAATTTACAGAACCTTCACCAATCTTGATGATTTCGTAGGTCTTGAACCCATAGTGCTCGTATATCTGTCTGGCTCTCTCGTCGATGCACTCCAGTGCGGCTGGGATGCCTCTCTCCTTCGCATCTTCCAGGATTGGCTTCATCACCTTCGACACCGAGCCCTTGGTGTTCGAATTTACATTCTTTGCAACAAGGGTCAGATGCCAGTACGGGATCCCATAGCTTACAAAGAACTTCTCGGCACATCTCTTGAACTCGTCCTCAGAGAACTCAAAATGGCCGTGCAAATCAATGCTGTATGGAACGATTCTCCATTCAGGTGGTGTCCATAGTGCAACTGCACTATAGTCATCACTCTGAAGACAGAGCGTATTGTTCTGCATGACATGCTCGACTCTCTCCTGGTACTCCTTGACGTTCTCCTCCAGAGAACAGTGCTCTGTGATGAGCTGGTTGAACTTATTCGGGTAGAATGCAGTGCCGATAATCTCCCCAGCTTTCCTCCAATCTTGTGAAAGCGTATACTGTGGATTCACACCAGGTGGGGCCTTGTAGTAGTATTCGATGGAACGCGTCTCCTCCTGTGTCATCTTCGTTTGCTCTTATCCCTGCTGGCTTCCAGTAATCACTCGCTGTCTTCTGTGTACACTTGACACCACACACGGGCCATAAACGTGGATTCTTATACCCTTCGTGTCGTAAAATGCTGTCAAGCAGTGGAGCAGGCTGCTTCGAAGCTGTGGGCCTTATTTCCGCTCCAGCGCATCATGGACGGATTAGGAAGGTGCTTGCGTCCCTCTTCACCAGCTCCACTGGCTCTGCTGGACCTTACAATTTGGGCAGGATGCAGGCAGGCAGAGCAGGCAGAGCAGGCAGAGCAGGCAGGGAGATCTTCGATGCCTTGTGGGCTTTATCTGTTTGTCGGTTTATCAGGCTTCCGTGCAAGATCGCAGCTCCGTTTGGGTGTAATTTCAGCTGTCAAATGACGTTGTGTCAGGGTGTCCTTTTCCAGCAGGTCTTCTACCGTTTCCAGCCCGTTTTGGGAGGACGCAAGTTCCTTAATTACGTAGGGATTCGTATGTGGATTGGGTTAGAGGAGGGCTTAGTAGAGGACTTCGCCGTCAGTTACACTTTTAGCCACTAATCTCATCTACATGGGGAGCAGGGTGTGCGTGTTCCCTTTGTGGAATTACACCGATTTCACAGCAGTTGAGAGAGAGAGGGAGAGAGAGAGAGCCCGATCATACATTGGTTTCACTACAACAATTCCATTGGAGGAGAGCACATGGTCGTCCTGGCTATCCCAGTAACATAGCATCCAACGGTGGTCTTCACCGGCTTAAATACCTCGCACTAGGCCTTGTGCTTGATAGCAACTGTTGCGTTGAATGCAGCACATCCGTGCCTCCAACTCATCACCAGGCAGACAGCGTATTTTGGTGTTTTCAAGCAATTGCCTCGCTGGCGCAATCGGTAGCGCTTACGACTCTTAATCGTACGGTTGTGGGTTCGAGCCCCACGTGGGGCATTTCGCTTTCTTTTTTTTTCTTACCTCCGCCGGCGTACGCACCAGCTGGTGCGTCGTTCCGAGTTGTTATCACTGCTTTATGCTATTACCTCCATGTTCAGCTTTGTAATATGAGTCTTACAGTGTTTGATTTAAACGTTTTTGTTACTAAACAGTAAAAATAACATCATCAGAGGTGTTTGGACAAATAATTCGCTATGTAATCAATTATTTCACCGGAAACTATTCTCAATTATCTTCTCAGAAAATTTAGTTAATCATTTCTACAATTAATTATCTTAAAACATACGTTTTTTATATAAATAACGGTTTTGCAGATGAACTCAATGATCACACAAATATTACAACCATGATTGCGCTTAGTACCAGACCCTCAGGCCTGTTTTAGCACCAAGAGTTGTATCACTGGACTCTCCACGCTTATTTGTCTGGTGTCCGGATTAAACATGACACATAGGCTGAAGAACTTTAGCGTATAGCTACTTCAAGACTCTGGTTTGTATTGAGAAGAGCCCAGCCAGCTCGTGCCGTTAGTTACTGGCAGACTATGAGTGGAGAATGTGATATCCCACTACTAAGTTGATCCTAGGCTAAAGTCCTTGAAATGATTGTCATTTCTCCCACTGCTGAATGCCATAGGAGAAAACTAACGGCGTACCTTAATCCTTAGCTCATTACATATTCTACACACCATACTGAATGTCTAATATAAGCTACTATAGTAATACTTAAAGAAAAGAAGCGTATTTTTTTTGTTCTTTTAAATGAGTTTTATGATTTTTTTGCACTTTTATACAATAACACTGAACACCATCACCGGCGTTTCAGCACTGGCCAACCGAGACAACAATAACATCGAATCCCAACACCAATTCACACGAGCCACTCGGTACTCTACGAACAACTAATCACTGGTCATAAAAACTGTGTGCATTGATTTTCAATCAGATATCGTCGTTGAAAGTATCCCTGATGAAGTCACCTTCATGAGAAGCGTCATTACCGGCATCACCACTGTCCAGGGTTGTGGAATCATAACTCAAACCACCATTGGATTGCCCGTTTTCAGATTCCCTGCTTTGTAACCAAGAATTGAACTCCTCCTGTGCAAAATCCTCGTTTTCCAGGTCATTTCCAAACAAACGGTCAAGGTCATGGATTGACTGGGTTTTAAACATCCGAGTAAGAGCATCTGGCATCGGTATATCTTTCTCGCCATCATCAGCCTCTTCATCAGTGGCCAGAAGCGGTGCTTCAACTTCACCCAATGACTCGCATGGAATTTGAGGGTTGGAGCTCATGCCATTATTTGGATTTTGGAATGAATCCATCATCTCCATCACATCATAAACAGGTTGTCCAGGCTCTGAAGGTTGTCCATTTTGAAGAACATCTTCACTATCTTCAAGATCACACACGTACTGACCTTGTGCACAGTATGTAAATTGATCTAAAGAACCCAAGTCGAGCTGATTCTTAGACTCATTAAGGGTATGTGATTCTGGATGGACAGTTTGATGGTCAAATATTGGATCATGAAGAAACGAACCAATGCCCATACCAGCCTGCCCAACTAGCTCCATTGTATATGTATCCTGTGATATGAAAGCTTCATTTGAGCTGATAACCTGCGGTAGAATTGGTGTGTTTTCCGCTTGATCTTCATTGGCTTCACCAGGAGCTTGTGGTTCATGCGGTATGATACCTGGACTGCTTGACTGCTGATCCTTTGCAGTTACAACACCACAATCATGAGCAAGTAGATCACTGGTTCTCACGGGTCTAGGGGGAAGTTTAACATTCTCCAGCCTCATGCGTTTGCCGATATGGCTTTGCTCAGACAAGTATGAGCCTTTGGTATAGCCATCCTTAACAACAGAGTAAGACCCAATATGGGTTCTACCCTTGATGGCCTTAGAGAACGAGGTGACAGTTTTACCCTTCTGTTTTCTCGTTGCAGCAACTGCATCAAACCCCCATTGCTCGCAGATGGCCTTGGTGATAAATTCAGAGCCAGCTCTTGCGTTGTCTCTCTTGTGCATATCTTCAAAGGTCCATCCCTCGTAGATATGAGGGAAATACCTCATATGAGAAGCCCTGAAAGCAGCCCTGGCTTCAACAGAGCCGGTCAAAGGGATTGGGTCAAAGCCTGAGACATAGGCCATGTTGAACTCCGTATGGCGAATTAGGAGATCAACAAAGCCCTGGACATATAAGTCCTTGGAACCCAGCTTCTTACAGCAATCAGCCTTGCATCTAAATTTGAATTCACTGGTTATTGGACACCTTGGAGTGTTCTTCGCATCGATTTGGAAAGGACCAAGCAATGGAACAACTTGTAATACAAGATACGCGAGACACCTGTTCTTCTTCTGGCCCTGGGGTCTAACAAGAAAGAACATGTCGTCTGGGTTATCAGTAGCTGTGGTTTGCAAGAACTTTTCATGATGACTGCAACAGGACCCACGGTGGCCGTGCAAGCAGTTGAGACAGGTGAACTTCACCACCACAACTTTGCCATCTGGAAGATAAATCTTAGAAGCAATCATTGTAGCAAGCCAAGCACGTGAACGATAGCTGAAGCCCCCCTCTGCAAGAACCAGATGTTTAATACAAGCTGATAGTTATGCAAAGTTACCAAGGAGAGCTGCTCTTGGGGTAAAGGGTAGTGGGGATGAAGTAGCTGCGATATTTGGGAATCCAAGCCCGTTTTTATAGCCAATTGGGCCTGTTTCCCGCGTATTTTAGTGTTGATGGACAAAACTGCAGGCAGCATCGTCTCTGTGGCCTCCTGCAAGGGGCAAAAAGTCTATCACTTTCATCAATTCCATCAATTTCAGCTTGATTTCAGCACCAAAACATGGGGAATCCTCCAGGAACATGCGATATTCATAAAGTGCACATCTCAACAGTCACAACGAGTCCATTTAGACCCTCAAAGGTGTTATAATCATGCCGTTAAAGCGCATGTTTTCTCGTCCAGAAGTTTTGTGCCATATGCAAGTGAAGCAAGCACCAGAAGCTTGCGTGGGCGAGTTTGGCGTAGAATTCAGCACCTTCCACTGCAATGGAGGAGCACATCAGGTATAAGCTCAGCTAACTTAAACGGCCAGGCAAAAGCAGCGAGCTAAATTAGGCCAGAAGGCCCACCAGCGGCGCATTTCAACGGTGGCGTGGAATAGAGTTGATGCAGCGAGAGGTCTTTCATGCCCTCCAGTACTGTGCCAAAGAGTGAAGTCTATCGATGACCATTGGAAGCAGTGCTGAGACACTATCGTTGATCAAGTTCTGGAAGTGTATGATGGCCTCCTCCTCGCTCATGTCCAGGCAGAATTTCTCTTTCACTTTGTAGACAGCACGGTCAGGCTCCATTTTGATATCTGGGATGCTGGAGTCACGCATCAACTCGAATAAGTTCAGAATCAAGTTGGAGTTCTTTCTCAGAATCGTGTAAGCGACGAAGCAGTAGTCCCTGAACTTGTCGTAGTTTGGCGAGTCTGCACCACCAAAGGCATCTATGATTTGAGGTGGCAGCTTCATCAGAGGCGGGAACGGCTTAGGGTCCTGTCCTAAGATGTAACCAAAGTCAGCGTGGAAGAAATGGCCGTCAGGACAGATCAGCAGATTGTCCAAGTGGCGATCACCAACACCGAGAATATACGTTATCACACAATAGCCAGCGCATGATTTGACAAACGTGTCAATGACAGAGGGCACCACGCCCAGCTCGTTTGAAGAATCAGGGTTGTGGTGCTTGAGGTAAGGTAGAATACCATGGTAGTCTGCAAGAACGCTTGCCAACGTGCTGTTTGGAATGAATTGAATCGCACCTTCAGTTGGGCCCGTAGCCAGGATCTTATAAGGCGATAGTTTCAAATCAACGTTTTCGTTAAGCAGCAGTTTGTTCATCAACAAGATTATTTGGATAACAAGTTGATCCTGTCTCAAATCGTCGCCCACTTTGAACATCAACGGGTATTTACCACCATCTGTTGTGGTGAACGTTACTTTCAACGGTGATAGAGAGCTCTTGAAGACAAAGCTTTCTTCAGGCACAGTACCACATATCTCCACAGATGGATCCAACGGCAGTCTCGTTGGTGAAAAGGTCTTGAATTTCGTCTCCAGGATAGACTGTAGCATCTCGATCTTCTTTGGTGTGGTTTCTCTTGAAGCCTTAATTTTAGTGCAGAGTTTTACCAAATGATCAACAAGCTCAATCTCTCGTTGTAAGCCTTGATTCTTGACACTCTTCAGGAAGTAGTCCAGTAGCTTTCTATATATCGATCCTGGATTGTTATCCCGTGCTTCTGTATTCAAGTACCAGTATAGGAAAGATCCCAGTCTTTCATTTAACAGAGCACGTTCCACTAAGAACTGGGAAAGAGGTGTAAGCGATTGTGAATCGTCCAATACTGAGCCCGAAGATGAAGCACCTCCCAACATGGACTCGTTCAACCCGACGATTGAGAAGTCACTTGAGGAGTTTGTTAGTGTTTCATATCTGAGAGCCTGTACGAGCTGCAACAGATAAAGCTCCAGCTCGTCATCATGAGCCTTTTTCAGCCTTTCCACTGCGTAGGTTCTCACCGTAGAGTTTTTGAAATTAGGACCAAGAAGTTCAATGGAATCTTCAATGTCGATCTCAACCCATTTGGGCAACAGGTTTAAAGCCTCGTTCAACTCATTCTCATCAGAGAAGTTCACGGATTTGATCAACTTGTTTAATCCCTTCTTGTTGTTCAAGAGGAAGTATCTGAACTTCCAAACGAGGTTCTTTTCATATTGAGTAAGCTCCTGAACCGAGGAGTAGTTCAAGATCTTATTCAACTCATCTCTAATCTTCGGTGTCGGCTTGATTTCCCTATCGAATGGACCATCTTTATGGGATCTCTCGAGTTTCCGGTACTTCTGTTCAATAGGATCAGTTCTGTATTGTTCTGGATCATAAACCTTCATCGTAGTGAACTTCCCCGTGGAAATCTTCGACAATGTTCCCTGCTGCTCGTTTTGCATCTGCTGAAGTTGTTGATCTGATGGTTGGTACGTAGGTATCATTGGAGGCGGATACTTGTGGTCTGAAAACACCACTGGCACGTCGAATTGCACCATATCGATGAACAGAGTGAAGCCAGGCTGTGCACTCTGGGACTTGTTGATCTGCTCAATAGTCCGGAAAGTCAAGTTGTCCAGCCACTCAACGGCAACCATGTCTCCATTTTCATGTTTCTTGATCGCCAACTCCAGTTCTGCCATTTGGCCATCTTTGAAATGGCCGTGGTTCAGTGAAGGGTCCTGACAGCGCACCGTCAGCTTCTGTCGGCCCCTTTTCAACGTACAATCGTCATCGACGTGGAAGATGTACATGTCAGTCTCGCCAAAGTCGCTCCTCTTATCACCATCGAACTCCCATATCGAAATCGTCAGCTTCGAATTGAAGGGCAACTGGCTGACATTGATGGGCAGGGTCAGCCACTCATTCCACCTTCTCGACGCTCTGAACGCAGCGTACGACGTGGTCACGGGTATCGTCAGCGGCTTGCCCTCCAGGGTAACAACAACAGAGCAGAACAGCCCAGAAGTCTGCGAGAAGTTCGACAGCTTCCTCACCTTTGAAGGGTCGGTGTACCTCGTTGATTCCTTCAACAGAGGACGGGTTCCCTCCAGCGAGTTGATCCTTACCCTCAGAGGAACGTCGATCCCACGTGAGGTGCAGTATGTCACGCTCTTGGACGTCATTCTCACGGCTCTTGTTCCACAGCCTTGATGATGGCGCTGGCGTGCAATCGATGTGTATCAATGTTGATGTTTATGGCTCCAGAAGCCGGAGTGAGCGAAAAAGGCGACCAATATGTCCCAAACAGGAAATGACCGGATCCGGAAACAAGAGCCGAAACGCGGCCGCGCCTCGCTTATCCGCGCTAAGTCCCCCAATCTCCGAGCCGAATTAGAAATCAAATGATGGAAACGTTACAACATCAAAGGGCTTTAACGCGTTGATATTTGGCTGTTCTCTGGTGCTGAGCCTTCACTCAGCCGATCTAAGTATGTGGCTCGTGAGGTTTGGCGCTTTAGGACGGAGAAAGAAGCCGTGTTCGACCACGCTTTGGGATGTTCAGACCGTGCTATGTATCACGTTGTTGCCAGGGCTCCAAGGCCGTGAGATGTTGTATAAATAGTCCATTGTGGTTACTCTCTGCCGATATGAGCCTCTTGTCTGTATAGGGACATCGTCAGTGAACTCAGTATTCCGTGGCTCAGCGCAGAAAGAAACAATAAGAACAAAAACATGAAGGTCTTCGTAACAGGTGGAAGTGGCTTCATCGGAACCATAGTGGTGAAGGATTTGATCTCCAATGGCCACGAGGTTGTCGCATTGGCTCGCTCAGAGAGCTCGAAGAAGAAGTTGGAAGCGCTCGGTGTCGGGGAGGTCGCCGTGGGCGACCTCCAGGACCTGGACGTGCTGGCCAAGTACGCCAGAGAAAGCGACGGTGTTGTTCATTTGGCATTCGAATCCACCATGGAGAAGTTCTTCCAGTCAATTGAAGATGACCTTGCCGCAACAATGGCCATGGTACAGGCATTGGAGGGAAGTGGGAAGCCATTCATCAGTACCTCTGGTGGGCTGACAGGTGCGACTGCTCTCGGCTCTGAATGGCCTGATGAGGACTCTCCAATTGTTGTCCACGATACCCCATTCGGATTGCGTACTCGTAACGAGGTTGAAGCAATGAAGTACACGAAGAAGGGTGTTAAGGTTATGACCGTTATATTGGCTCCAATTGTTCATGATGTCGGTGATACGCATGCTTTTGTGCCAATTCTTGCTGGCATGTCGAAGCAACTGGGAAGCGTCAACTATATAGACCAAGGTGAAAACTTGTGGACTGCAGTGCACCGTCTTGATGCTGCTCCGTTGTACCGTTTGGCCTTGGAGAAGGGCAAGGCTGGGCAGAGATTCAACGCTATTGGCGAGGTGATCAAGTTCAAGGCCATCGCAGAGACCGTTGCTGCGAAGCTGGACTTGCCTACTCGAAGTGTTTCCCTCGAGGCTGCTCTTGAGATCAGTCCAATGGGCTTCATCTTTGGCCTGAACGCTCCTGCTCATAACGAGCTCACGAAGAAGAGACTGGGATGGGAGCCAAAGCATATCAAGGTCATTGAAGACATTGAAAAGAACTACTCTTTTGACTGATCTATAATTCAATGATACGGTGTAATAAAAGACAAAGACAGGTGTAAATTTCGATATCAAACCAACTCAAGCTGAATAAATAAGTGAATAAATAGGGTAAGAAGCCAACATATAGCATGCTTCAGAAGCCTTCTTCTTGGCCGATGATTTGCAATGCCAATCTCTTGGAGTAATATCTTGCCATTGCCAGGTTACCACCCATAAACCAGAAGTTTGGATGTCCAGAAGGTCTCCAAATAGAACGGAATTCACCTTCTTCATCCAGGTTCCAGACCGGGTTCAGCTTATCAGACACTTTATGACCAAACACATCACGTGCAGTGTCCTTCATGTTGGAATAGCCCGTGGCTTTAACGACAATGTCCAAGTTGTCAATGACAGAACCGTCATTCAACTCGACGCCGGTCTCTGTGAATCTTTTCACGGTGCTGTGCTTCACCTTGACCTTACCATCGATGATCAACTTGGAGCAGCCAACATCGATGTAATAACCAGATCCACGACGGTAATAGAGGCCAAACAGACCAGTTCCACCCATTCCTGCGTTTGTTTGGAATCCAGCTTTCTTCAAGCCTTCCAACATTGAGGCATCTGCCTTTGAAGACTCACGGTATTGCTGTTGCATCAGCAAGTTCGTCAAGTAGATCGGGTTGTTATGAAGCAACAGATCAGCAGTGTCAATATCAGGTCCGTTCTCATCAAACACATCACGACAGTTGATCTTGACACCGAAATGGGAAGAAATCACACATGTAGAAGAACGCTGCAACATTGTAACCTCCTTAATACCTTGCTCGTAGAAGTCTTGTGCAATGTCGTGTGCAGAGTTACAGGCACCAATGACCAATGCCCTTTTACCTTCATAATTAGCACCAGAGGTGTGCTTTGAAGAGTGGACTATTTCACCTTGGAACTTGTCCTCATCAGGGAACTTTGGAACGTTAGGCTCACCAGAATGGCCAGTACAGAACACAACGTGCTTAGGGTGCAGTTTCTTGACATCACTGGTTGAGTTGTTCTTCACAGTGACTTCCCATTCACCCTTGGACTCGTCAAACTCAGCACCTGTGACAGTAGTGTTTGTCCAGACGTTCAATTCCAGCATCTTTGCGTAGCATTCGAGGAACTCGGCAAACTGGTCCTTGGACGAGTACATCGGGGACATATCAGAGTGGATGTATGGAAGCTTATGGTAGTAGAAAGGATCGTGCAAGGACAAGAATTTATATCTCTTTCTCCAGTTGTCACCAATACGGTTGTTGGACTCGACGACAAGTGTGTTGTAGCCGAAAGCCTTCATCCTGGCCGCAATGGTCAAACCACCCTGGCCTCCACCAACAATCACACAAAGAGGCTGATGCTCACCTTTGTAGTCCTGTTCTTCTTGTCTCTTCTCTAGCCAGGTCTTTCTGGCAACGTTCTCGCCATGGTTGGCTCCCAGAGGTCTCTTTTTACCGGCACGTTCTGGAACCTTGGTGAACTCGTCCAAAACTGTGTAGATGGACAAGGCCTTGAGACCAATTGGCGCTGCTTCATCCTTCACGCTGATCAGCTTGATGGAGCCACGGCCAATGCCATAATCAGTAGCGTACTTCAAGTACAAGAAGATCCATTCAATTGGGGCTTCACCGTGTGGGCCCTCCGGGTGAATAGTCTGTAGCGCAACACCGGTTGGATACCGATAATCAGCCTGTTTGTCCAGCTCAAAGTGACCTATTTTGTCCACAGACTTCACCAGTTGGTCCTTGATCTTATCAGGACCGATGAAGTCCCTCAGATCCAGTTGCAGCGACAGATGGTCTTTCCAAATCGTGTGAGGCAGCAGGAATTTGTCCAGGCCTGCTGGGTCTGCCTTGACGTCTGCAAGCGCATTGTTGAACTCTGCTAGCCAACCAGTGGCTAGTGCATTTACGTCATGGTGCTTGATATTTTCCGGGTCCGGTTTAGATTGTCCGTAAATACGCTCTTGTGGGATGTTCTTATCGAAAGCCTCGTCCATATAAGCTGGTGCGATCTCGTCAATTCCTGGGAAGACTGACATGTTGTTCTGTGATTTGTCTCTTTGTTGATGGTGTAGTATCACAATGAGATCGGCTGTCAGAGAAGGAGTTTTAGCCCAGTTTAAATAGTTTTGAGATGGCTCAAGTCTCCTCATCTGAAGTAGAACGTGGTGGTGATCCTTAGTGGGGATTGTTCAGCGACGGTAACCGTAGAGAACGTCCTCGTCGTGGTTCCCAACAAGTGTATTGAGCTTGACTCCTAAACTTCATGACCAGGCATGCGCAGATCTCAGGTCTCATTTCTGTAGGTTGAGTTTTCAATCATGATGGATGTTTTGAAGGCATTCCCGGATAAATCGAGCTGGAAGAGACTTTGTGGGGAACAGCAACCATACGCGCACGCAAAGATAAGCGGGTAAACCGTGGAAAACACTAACAAAAACACACACACATGTCTATTACCGTAGCGGGCGTGAGACATGGCTGTGAAGTGGGTGGGGGTTGAGGTTGGGGTTGGGAACTACGGACACCGCTCCCACACAACAAAGTGGAGCAGTGCAATGTTGACTACCTCCTTGGGCTCCCAAACCGTCTCGTAGTTTACTTCATGCGTGACAACGTTAATACATGGGACAAAATCACCGCCACGGACTCCATAAAAAAAGGTTAGTGGTTTGTGCCTCCTGGACTTTTGACTTTACATTCAAGCAGCTCAACAAGTGGAGGTTTTGTCTGTTCACATGTCCAAATGTATAATGACGCATTTGAGTTTGTCCTCTTAGTCTACAGCCCAAATCCTTTGTCTTGACACAAAATGATTTGTCTTATCGATTCAAAAGCACAATGAGTCTTAGCTATCTAATGGTCGTGCTTCCTTTATAGGTAACCACCGTGTACAATGAATACAATACAATCTATAATGGGTAGCCCATCATCGACTTCATCGCCTTCTCGATGTTCTATTTGTGTTCTTCTCTCAGAATCTTTGCGATGTGTAAGCCATTGGTGGAACGGCTGGGTGCTCGACAGCTTCGAATGTGAAGTACTCCAATTCATCCTTGAAGTTGATAACCGCACCGATGTTCCCCGTCGAATCACAGTAGTTCGGAGCACTGAACACTGTTATGCACTTACCATCATGCTCTTCGCTATATCCGCCCATACGGACCTCGTGCGAGCGGATGATGGCCTTCAAGTTGTTGGTATCACAGAATTGACGGGTGATGTCCGGCCCGAATTGGAATGCAATTCCTCTCTTGGAGGTTCCGAAGCCCTCCTCCTCTTGTGGGTCAGACCACAGGAGCTCCATTTCAACACCTTCACGAGGATTGGATAGCTTGGTGACCTTGTCCTTAAGCTCTGCCAATGTCATGGTTGGGTTGGAAATGAGACCTCCATGCATCACGAGGTAGTCATCGTTTATAAGCGTTAACAGAGGCATCTCTGTGAAGATCTCCTGGAACATGGCCAAAGGCTTAGCTCCATGTTTATGCTTGACTTCATCTGCAAATCCAAACATCTTGTTCATGCCATCTGTCTCGTGGTTTCCCCTGTTTATGTGCAGATGATCAGGGTATAGGATTTTGTAGAACAAGAGAGTGACAATCACCTCAACGGACCATGAACCACGGTCCACAAGGTCTCCGTTGAAGAGATAGCCGTGCTTTTCATGAACGAACCCGTTCTTGGTAAACATGTTGATCAAGTCATAGTACTGGCCATGGACATCACCGACAACCGTAAAGTCTCCAATCTCGGAGGTTTTAATCTCCTTATAGGCAGGTTCTTGCTTTAATACTTGGTGGGCTTTCATCAGTAATGCGTATAGGTACTTTCTAGGTAGTTTGCCGCCATCCTTGTAGAATTTGATGAGTTCTTGCATCCAGGAGTCGGTGAGTCCCCCCAGCGTAACGTCACGTGTCTCTTTATCAAATGTGATGTCAAGCTTTGGGCCTTCATAGGTCTGTTCAAGAGGGATATGTTCAAGGTCGAAATCGAAAACGTCCTCATCTTCACTCTGGATAGCCTTTTCAAATGCAATACGTCTCATGTGCTTACTCATTTCATTCTGGAGTCTTTTAGTGTTGGCATCAGAAGGTTTCAACTTCAACACACCCGCAAAGTCATCATATGCTTCTTTATACCTTAGCAACATGCTCTTTGCAACACCTCTTCTATAAAGAGCCTTGAAATAAGTTGGATCAACTTCCAGAGACTTGTCACAATCAGCGATGGCAGCACCGTACTGTTCCAGCTTGATCTCAGCTTGTGCTCTGTTGGCGTAGTATATAGCGTTCGAATCATTGAGTCTAATGGCCTCAGTATAGTGATCCACTGCTTCAAGGAACTGATTAGCCTGCAAGGCTTTGTTACCTTTCAATTTAGCCTCTTCTGCCATGATCTAATGGGGTCTAATGGGGTCTAAGGATGGACTGAAGAGCGTGAAAGTGTAACGTCTAGTCTTTTGTGTCCCGAAAAGTCCTATCGCCTCTATCTTTGTTTTCCTTTGTCTTTTTTTTTTTTCACGGTACAGACATTTTTTTTCATTTTCTTGTTCGGTAAATTGTCCGCGAGACAGTCCATGAGACGGGGAGACAACAATTCTGGGACTTTGGCGCGAGGAGACCAAAAAACAACAAGGGCAAAAAAAAAAACACTAAACAAAACACATCGGCATTTCACTTTTGTGAATGGCGTAAACATAAACATAAACACAGACATCAAGACCTTCAAGACATTTTTGGACAATAAGTAGGCACACACAGGACAAAGGATGAATACACAGTTAGATAAGCAACGTATCACGCTTCTTTTAAACATCAACACGCTGATTATACAGAGATGTTTGATGATACAACAGCAACAACAACAACAGGGAAGCGCGATGAATCCAAAACTACAGCTGATATTGCAGGATTTGCTGAAGAGATTACACGCCAATTTAACTTGTATTGGGGAGCTTAGTGAGAAGCATAACCAGCAGAACCTTACGAAGGTTGTGTTTCCGCAGATATTGACGGCACCTGCTGATGTGCTGGAATTGAACGAGTTCTATGCCCAATTACAAAAGCTGTTTCCAGAAGGTATGACGATATTGCAAAGACGAGCTTTGCAATTGAGGCAAGAACAGATGCGTTCTGCTGGGGAAAACCAGGGACAAATGCTGCAAGGACAACCACATGGCCAAGGAAGACAGTTACAAGGACAAATGCAAGCTCAGATGCAAAATCAATTGCAAGGCCAAATGGGCGGGCAGCTACAAGGACAAATTCCAGGACAGCAGCAGCAGCAGGCGTCTATTCAAGGACAACAGTACTGGTAGAGAAGGCGGTGGTGAACTGGGCCCAAATGAATTCCATAAAAAATGTTGTAACGTTATAATAAAAACCATATTGGGGATATATGTGAAGGTTTTTAACCACTGCTTACAGGAGGTATTATTGCGACTTCATCGTCCTTGTCCAATTTGATTTGATCTTTCAACTCAATATCGATATACTCCAAGTTAACTGTCAACCCACAACTTTGCCTCACGTATTCACTGAGACCTTTAAAGTTACGGTCCCAATGTTGAAACAGATCATCCAAGCATTGTACGTTATCCACCGTTTCTGATTTAGCCCCAAGGGTGAATGAAGTGCTCGGCCCGTAGTATTCGACCAGAACCATCTTCAAGTTGG